AGGCTAGTTCTGATAATTTCAACACTAATGGTCAATGTTTACAGATCTAGGTATAGGCAAATGATGGGAAATCATCTAACTGCATAGTAGTATGGCGAAACCCTATATTCATGTTATTCACCCTAAAAAGAGAACCGTTCAATTGTTTGACCCCAAACTTGACGCGTGATGTCAGAGACTGATTTCAGGTCAGTTCTGAAAATTTGAACACAAGTGGTCATTTTTTACACCTCCCTGGAAAAGAAAATGATAGGAAATCATCCGACTGCATAGTACAACGGCGCAACCCTCAATTCACCTAGTTTTCCTTAAAAAGACACCCGTCCAATTGTTTGACCCCAAACTTATTGCATGATGTCGCTGACTGATTTTAGATTATTCCTGAAATTTTCAACACGAATGATCAATTTTTCCACTTCCAAGTAAAGAAAAATGATAGGAAATCATCTAACTGCCTAGAACTATGGCGAAACCCTAGATTCACCTTTTTCACCCTAAAAAGAGAACCGTTCAATCTTTTAACCCCAAACTTAACACATAATACTGGAGACTGATTTCAGGTCATTCCTGAAAATTTGAACACAAGTGATCACTTTTTACACATCCCACAAAAGGAAAATGATAGGAAATCATCTAACTGCATACAACAGCGAAACCTTAAATTCACCTTTTTCTCCCTAAAAAGAGAGCCATACAATCTTTTCACCCCAAATTTATGCATGATGTCGCAGACTGATTTCAGGTCATTCTGGAAAATTTTACCACAAATGATCAATTTTTACGCTTTCAAATAAAGAAATCATCTGACTGCATTGTACTAGGGCAAAACCTTAAAATCACCTTTTTCAACCTAAAAAGAGAACCGTTCAATCTTTTGATTCCAAACTTGACGCATGATGTAGCAGACTGATTTCATGTCACTCCTGAACATTTCTATACAAAAAATTAATTTGAACGAACTTCAATGGATGAAAATGATTCAAAATCATCTGCAGTTGCTTTGTATGGAGCTCCCTAAGTGACATCTGACTTTTTAACATCCTTACTTTTGGGTTGGGATGACCTCATAGTACAGACAAGATGTAAACATACAGAGACTAAGATAAGTTATCACATGATAAAAACACCCAGAAACATTTAATCATGGGATTGCGATATCGTAAAAGTGAAAAAATTACATTATCTGTCAATGGGATGGCAACGATTAAGATGGCACTCCTAGAGCTCCATGAAATGATCATCCTGACTTAACCTCAAAAACTGAACAGTTGAATCTTTTGACCCCAAACTTCACATGTGATATCGAAGACTGATTTCAGGCTAGTTTTGATAATTTGCAAACTTCACATGTGATATCAAAGACTGTTTTCGGGCTAGTTTTGATAATTTCCACACAAATGGTCAATGTTTACAGATCTAGGTATAGGACAATGATACAAAATCATCTAGGCTAATTGCATTGTACTAGGGGAACAGCCTAAATTAACCATTTTCACCCTGAAAAGAGAACCGTTCAATCTTTGTAATACCCCAAACATCACGCATGATGTCGGAGGACTGAGTTCAGGCTATTATATAAAATTTGAACACATGATCAATTATGTTCAATTCTTATCGCCAACGGGCGTCCAACGCCGAACGTTGCCCAGTTTTCTTCTACGTGACGTTCCCACTATACTACAGCTCAGACCCATTATTAATCATGCGGTATAATCTTACGATCGACCACAAACTGTACATGTACGGCATGAGCACACGCACGTTTAGGTTTAGGTGTAGTCGACTGGTTTGTGGTCGTACACGTACACTAGTGCTGGGCGGCTGAGTAAGACGCTTCGCGCGTGCACTATTGCCGGTGCAATACATTCATTTGGATTCAATCGGACGCTGGGTGTCGAGCAAACGATATGAACAGTTTGAATATTAATATTATGTACAGTGTACATGTACAGTAGTGTGTTGACTGCGTGTGGATGAGAGTGTAAACGCCTTCAGTCGTTGACCTATAACAATAGACACTCATAGAGGACAAATAGGGTCCCCGGTTGGAAAACGTGTACAAAACATATGGGAGGTCTTCCGATAAAGTAAAAGAGGAGGTGCTCGATTAAAGGCGTTTACACACTTGTGTCTGTGTGAGTTGGGGGGGGGGGCTGAAGTTTGTTAAAGCCACCGGATGACCTCGAGTTTTCAGCTGGGCCATACGATGATGTATTTCAATGAAATGTGTCAGTGTCATAGAGGCATACATACTAATCGTCTGTATGAAATTATATGTAAATTGATTGAGGTTTTGCATAAATATGACTCATTAATTATTCACGATATGCCCTTTGTACGATGTGGGTTCAAAGTCAATGGGTGTGTACAAAGTCAATGTTCACCCTGCCTCCTGAGTACACGTCAAATTTTCATAAATTTGGGGTCAAAATGAGGCTAATACATTGGAAAAAATATCCTAAACTATTAGCACGCAGAAATTAATCTTGGAGATGCTATCAGCAAATATAAAAAGTGGGGGGTGGGTGGATTCTATCCCTGGCTTTCTGAGGGTTAAGACGCGCAAATATAAATAACTACAAATAAATTTTTAGACTGAATATGATGCATTAGTACCATTGTCAATGAATGAAACAAAACAAAACAACCCACAAAGTTAAACGAAATTTTGGAAAGGCTTTTTATTAAAGTTTGTGCAGTTTGGCAGGTTCGGTTGCTTATGAGATGATTGGAGGTAACTGGACTTAAAAAATAAAATAAAACATCGTGGGAATAAGATGCCTCAATGATTGGCTCTGTGTCCTTCCATTTAATCATGTTTTGGTTCTTAAATCTATTCTCATGAAAATCCTGTCAATAAATACACCGTGCCCCCACACCAGGTTTATCCTTGCAAATAATCCAGACAAATTTTGATTTCCAATGTTTCATACACCATCCTAATTAACAAGAAAGTACCCGGTGCATGGATCAATTGCGCCGGCTAGTAATTTCGGCCGCGATTCCGATATTGCGGAAACGTAGTAAACGACCCAAAGGTTTCCCATCCAGTTACCGGGGGGGGGTGTAGTAAACGCTGTAAAAGAGGGGTGCATTTAAGTACCCAGGAAACGGGCATGGAAGCGGCCAGCGGAAACGGGGAGGGTGCACGCTGGAAACTGCCAGGTTTTGTGGTGGGTTTTAAAATACCCCCCATTGGACGGTTGAAAAACCTAACAATCTTGATACAAGGCCCATTTGTTCGTAACCGGCATGTGGAAGACCAAGGAATTTCCTTGATCGAAAATTTTTGCAGAAAATCAATGATTATAGAGGGGAATTTTAATGTTGGCCTATAGCTTTAAGAAATCCGTTTTGTTTCCATTTCTGTCAACTTCTGTACCGAAGTAACAGATGATTATTGCATACTACTGTAATGAGTAACGTATCCAAACTAATTTTTTTTAAATAGAAATTATGTGGTTAAAGGTTAAAGTGTATTTGTATAAACATAAGGCAACTTGAAGTAACTTCATTACGCGAAACAAAAATTAATAACTACAACTGCAAGTGCAGATCATGAAGGAGTACATGTACTGAACGGACGCACGATGGACAGAGGTGGGAATGCAAACATGAAGAGGAAGCGCTAATTTACAACTTGCATACCAAATTGCGTAACAGTGGGTGCCAAATTACAACTTGCTGCTGTAAAAAAAGGAAGTGCCACGTCTACACTTAAAAGCAGTCAGCCTCAGTTCACTCTCTCATTTTAACTGCCTGCCACGGCTAAAGTTTGTCGAAAGTATTTGCTATAAACGAGGAGTTTGTTCATTGTCAACTGTACAAGAGGGGAAAAGGATGCCTCGCCAGAAACAGTGGTGGTTCGAAATGAAGAATGGCAGAGCATTCGTAATGTGCTCTAACTCCAGATTGGGAGAGGATGCAAAACCCATCCTTCAGAGCAACAAGATGCCGTACGGAGCTGTGAAAAAGTTAGAAGTCTACAAGCCATCTTCATCGCCGGCTGACTCTGGCCAGTCGGGCAAGTCCGAGCAAAACGAAGACATGATCAAGGTAAGTCCAATCATTTGTGAAGTTCGGGCAAAATCTTCTTTTGTAGGCCTACCTCCGGTCATCATGCTCATTAAGTTATAATTGCCGTTATTGTATTACCATGGTGGTCAAATGGTAAGACATGTAAGAAGTAGCATAAAATCGTCGCATAATCAGGTAACACTAACAGCCTGCTATGCAAATCTCATATTTAGTTAGACTTGGAATTTCATTTTCCTTCAAACAGTTCATTTCGCAGTAAAAGGATGCGGGGACTCTTTACTGTGTAACTCCATTGTCAGCTGCAAAATGTTTTCACTCTACAGAAGTTTCTGCAAGTTGATTAACGGGCTCCTTGTCATGTCACATGCAATGGTGTGCGCTATGGCCTATAAAGTCCATAGTTTTTAGGGGAATGGTTAACCCCAGAACGTGGGAGCGAGGCGGGCGTCGAACCCCCACTGTAAATTGTGAATTGAACGGTAACCCCCCCCCACACCTTTTTTTTGGGGGGGGGTGCTATTAAATTATTCCCTGGTAGGCATACTGGTCCTGGAGATCCATGAACATCGTGAAAACGTACTGTACTTACAATCAATCATTTCCAAACTATTTTCCACGTAGCGATTCGCAAGGCACTACCTATCTGGTCGCTAAAATCTGCGAAACGCTATAGCTTTTCATTACCGCGAAGCATGTTTCCGATCGCTGTGATCAGCGAAACCTTCGAACATTGCAAAATGATATTGCTACAGCTCAAGCTTATTTCAGGTCTGCTTTTGGTTCTATTAAATGAACATGATGAAAATATTTACAAGACATTCATTGTTGTTTTGTCTCCGGTCGTTGAGACCCGATTTTCAAAACATCGACTGCTGCTTCTCGGCATTTCTCGTGCCACAGAAGTTGAAACTTCATCACTAAGGCCTATCCACACAACTGTTACTATGAGGTAAACTTTGCTTAATTTTCAGCAGAATTTATCCAAATAGCTGTCATGGGTGACAAATCTGTAAAACCGCAAATTTCACCAAAATTTGTGAATTTATGTTAAAAAGCAGGGTATATGTAGTAGGCCTAATAATTAGTATTACGTGTAGCAGCAATATCGTAATGTAATGTACCCGGGGAAAATGTAATTGTTCTTCGTCTGTTAAAGACCGTTTCCCGACAAGATTCGGATGAGCACCATTTCGAATGTTTGTGTTTGTAAGTAATTTTTCTCCGGGTGGGTAAATCGGTTTCTATTATAAGCCCAGGCCCTGTAACACGTGTACAAAATGCATATATATCCTCCTAACGCCCATTTATGACAGCTGTCGAATACCCTACCCATAGGAACGGGGTATTTTTGTCATCTCGCGAGGTGGCAAGAATTCTGGAAGACTGGATATTGTTAGAAATCCGGCATTCTACGAACAGAACCTCGTCACGTACAAACCAGGGATGTTGGATCACTTAACGCGACCTGCATGAGGTTGGCCATCAATGATTAATGGCCCGACAGGGCCCGCTCGACCTTGTTCTGCCGGAAGGCGCGGGTTACCTGACTCTTGGAAATACTACTGACCAGAATAAAGTAGTTTGAGGCTATAATACGGATGTGGTTTCCGAGAGCAGAGGATACACATGTAATTACTGCTTTCAAATTGTTTTTTTTTTTTTTTTTTGAGGGGGGAAGGGGGTATGCTAAGATTCCTATCCATTACGAAGACAATAGTTGAAATCAGCTAGGGGTAAATTTTGCAGCCACATCTAGCGAAGTCAACTCGATTAGCAATGTTTTCGAAAAGCGAACAAAGACTGACTAGTTGCCGTCACTCGTTGTTTGGACTTGAATGAATATCATTCGTCGAAAGACTAGATTAAACTGGCAGAGAAGTACCGAGAATCTACTCAGATCCTAAATTAAGCAAAGAACTGTAACTGTCACACCACTGTCAGACCGTACTGGCCGACGATGGTTCTACCTTTATTGGCGGTGGGCCTAAGGCCTGTATCAGTTAACAAGGGACCACACGGGGGCCGTTGGAAAGGAGTGTTTCTTCTTGACCCCAAATTCGCAACCGTCTTGAGGGGAATAAGTTCTTTGAAGCCCTCCAAAAGGAATTTAAAGGGTATGTTTCCAAATAGTGCATTTGCAACCAATCCGTCACTGACAGTTTTCCTTCTTGTACTAAAGCAAAACCAATATTTGTTTTGTTCGCCCATAACAGATTATATTCTACGAGGGGAATCCAAAGGTCCTACCTACAAGAAATTTCCTCTGGCAGATTAATGACTTTTGTCGAAATCTGAGGCCATCGAGGGAATCACTATATCCAACCCTCGATATTGTTGAGAGGTTTAATAGTAATATCCCAGGCCCGTCAACTGAGATAGATGATGACGACAGCTCGCCAACAGGAGACGATTCGGCCACAATGTCATCAAGCCTTGACGACGAGGATCTACATACTGTCACGCAGGACAGGTACGTACAGCTTTACAAGACAGAAGTCCAGTTGTGGTCTTGTCCGTTTGGTTGATATTATTCACATTTTCTGCTTTGACTTTTAGAAAATTTGTATACTTTTTATACATTTTTATGACCACGGGATGATGTAACATTATCATGGTCAAATCTTGTTGAAAGGTTTGTGAGTGAAAACGACAATACAATTATTACTTAAACAAGAAACTTCGATAGAGAAGTGAATTAATGTTTCTTTAGACTTAAGAATAGAACAATTTCAGAAGCTGAGACGTTTGCGCCCACTTTTTATTTAAGTATTATGATAACGACGGATGCAATTTCAAATTTACAGAATTGATGTCACGTGTTGACACTAGCTTGGTATCGTTTTGTTCGGTAAAAGAAATCCCATTAATGTTTAATGAATGATGTTCAATGTAAGAAACATCTGAGACATGATCTCACTAACGCTCAAGACGCCGGGTCAAAATCTGCCCCGACGTATTTTCCGATAACATCGCAGTGTACTTTTTAATGCGCTGTGCTGAGCCCTTTTGGAGTTTTAGAGAAACGCTTTGAGTTCATTTTGACACCAACAAAGTAATTTTACGAGCAGGGAATAATACAAGAAACCTGGTCAATATACGCAATCCAAAAATCGTTATGGACGGCTTAACAACATGAATATGAAATAATGTTTTATTCAATGCCAGTCAAATCGAATCTCCATAACAGAGTAATTAGTTTGCCTAAAGGTATACACGTACATATCATTTATGTGACTAATCTTCATTTCATCGAGTTGACATTGTCAAAACATGAAGAAGTTTGTTACATCATCGGCCTATTCACCTTGCATTATATTTTGCTAACTACTTTTAAAACTGGATAATCCGATTAACGACACTAGTAATGTTTGTCCCTTACTGTTGTTCCAATTTGCACCCTAGTATTGGTGATGTACAAACGGACGATTCTGCTATTTCAAAGAAGAGAAGGAAACTAGACAACACAATCAACGTCCCACCTCTGCTGAATAGAAACTACTCCACATCAGCACAGGCAGCTGTACCCCCTTCGCTTTCCATCCAGTACAAACAAGAAGTACAAAATGCACATCTTGGTGAGTGTTAATTGTGTTTGAAGTACCAATGCAGTTTAAATGCCGATTCCAGGAACAGACACATGGAAATATTCACTAGTTGAAAATACAACATTCATGTTAAAATAATTATAGCTAATTATTGTAAGAAACTATTTATTTTGTTATAGTTTTAAAGTTTTTGTAAAAGTTTAATTTCCGGCATATACACCACCTCCAAGTTTCCAGTTTAGAATGAATTCAGGAAATTAACAGCCGTGTGTAGAGCTTTATAATTCAAATAACTACGGAACCCGACCTGGCAAATTAGGAAGAAGAGATCCCTCCGTTTTCCAATGAGGATAAGACGCACAAATGTTGTTTCAGTCTGGAAGGTTGGGCTGTAAGTCACTTTAATAAATGTAATTGGAATAATGTACGTTGAACAATTGACTGGTTACCCACACTTCGGTATATTGTCATTTACCGAATTTCGTCTTTTTAAAACTTATTCATAGGTCATGTGAAGATCTACTTGAAAAACCTCGAGCTGGGAAAGCAAATCCGTCCCGTTGACAAAGAGTTCGTAGCTGGGCTCCAAACACAGATGGAAAAGTTTCCTCTTGATTCAACATATCAACCACTATGTGTCGTTACCAAGACACTCCCGAGTCCTGACATGTTTAAGGAGGAAAATGTAAGCTTACAACAGTTTTTTTTCCAACCACCGTATACGTTCTGAGAATAATTTAAATGCCTCTCTACCCCAAAAGGAAAACTGGATTAAACACACAATTTGTAAGTTTGAAATTATTTGCAAGTACATCTTCGCAAGATTGGCACTCACTAAGTATAAATTACACAATGACATAAATCGTCGATATGTTACAGCCTAAGACATCCAGTTGCAGTTATTTGGAACTTAAAGGAAAGAGTATTGGTTACAAACCTTATAAAGCCAAATCCTACATAAAAGACCTATATGCGGAAGGTGAAAAAAGAACAGTACAAAACTGACTAGAGCTGGACCAAGAATTGGGTCATACGCGATAAAGAAAACAAAGAATCTACATGCCATGCTTGTTGTTTTCATCTGTTTCGGCTGTCTCTTGCTATAAGTAGAGACTAAAAATTACACAAACAAATACATCGCACGTAGTTAAGAATTTTTGAAAACCAGCATAAAACAGTCTCATGAAAATCGAATCAATGCAAATGCCGGGAAGTCCATCCGATGTGGGTTTGACTGGCACTTTATAAAAATAACGGAAGATTTTTGAATGTTGGAATTTCGTTCAACAATGTCCATCACTATTTGATGGGATAATAACTTATTCCTGTATGGCCAAGTGGAGCTTAATTAAAATGGATAAGAGCAGAGGTTTGGAAAAACGGCGTAAACCCTGAAATAATCTGTTAATGTTTGTGTTACGTTTACTTCTCAGGCGAATGGCTTCAAGTACGGGGTCATTGGTGGGCAGCACAATTTTCTCGCTACTAAAGCACTGCATGACTTGTATCCAGAGAGGGAGCTGTATAAAAGCAGATGGTGCTCCGTTTATTATGGGGCCATATCGAACGAAGCCCTTTTGTATTTGGCGAATACCCACAATGTAATTGGAAGGTATCGCCATGAAATGACCTTCAAGGACAAGGTAATTTCTCACTTTTCAACTTCTGCTTTGAGTAGAAGCACCCATTCATTTGTTTTGAAGAGCCATGTGAGTTCAGAGTGCATTTTCGTTAATAGCAACGCAACCGAAATTATTATGTTTCATTTTTCTTCATTCCGGTTGTAAAACAGTTTTCAAAAATCGATTTCATTACGAACTGGAGCGATAATTACACATACTGTCAAAATCTGAAAAGAAAAACAATTTCTCTGCATGATGAGCGGGGCCCTCATTGTGATGCCAGTAAATTTCCACATACATTTTATCCAGCTATAAAGATTAAATATTGTTACTGAATTTTAATTGCATGCACTTAAAAATTTCCTCTAGCTTCAGATGTGCAGGTTAATGATGCAGGAGCAGACAACAAGCAAGGACAATGCATGGAAACGAAAATGTTCGGCCATTCTGCATGAGGTAGCCTATTACATGTTTTAATGCCATTAAAATGCAATTCCTGTAAATAATTTTCTTACGAAGTATAAGGTGCTACGATTGTCCATATACCCCAAAAAGAATGACCCTTGGGATGAGGCTGTTAATATTATCAACAATCAACATCCATGGCACAGAATGACCGAGGTGGTAATTACATGTATTTTTTTATTTTTGTACGATGAACATAACAGGATATGAGTGGACATTTCATGCGTGTCCTGATTCACATGGCTGCTCAGGAAGAGACCCTCTACCAAAGCCTAATGCGAGTGTTAAGCAAGTACGAGAAAGGAGAATTGAAAGGTAGATTAAAATTACGTTTTATTTATAGAATCACAATCGAAACGGGTGTAGATGTCACAAAATTATCAATTTAAAGCATATTATCAAGGTTTTATTTCCAAGGATGACAGGGAACAGTAAAAAGTGTTAATACAGGTAGGGTCTTGTTCATACATTTTGCTGTCAAATATTGTTAGTAATTACACCCAGAGTGCAAGCCGACTAAACGAGGCAAAGTTGAAAACTATCAAAGGTGCTATTTCTGCACCAACGTTGGCCGAGTATACCGTAAAAGTGATCAGAAAAACGTCATTTTTACAGTTAAAAAGGAAAACAGACGAGGTCTTATAATTTGAAATGATAGTAACCTCACAACCTATATGTCAAGATATGTCTGCAATGCTGATTTTTAAAACATCTCTTTTATAAAGACCAGGCCTTGCGGAAGAAGGAGAGAGCAACAGGCGAGCTGGACATCAAGCCTTATGTGTTTCGCCCTTTCCTGTCCCTTCCTGCGTCTGCTCTCTCCACCCTTCTTACACAACTGGAGAAGAAGGAAATCAACCTGGGCACACTTCAGCGAGAAGGAGTGATCCTTCAGAAGCTGCAGCGTGTCCAGCGACAGATGATATTTCTTCTAGATGCAAGATCCTGGGAGGAGCTGGAGACAAAATTCCCAGAGCACACCACTCGGGAAGTCTTGTTCCAATACACCAAAGGTCTTAAGGGGAAGGAAGTGAGCGATAGTCTGCGCCAGTTCTGCCGGGGGCTCAGCAAGAAGGCCAAGTTGTCAACAGAAGAGGGCACCTTTTTAACGGAGGCGCCTTTCCAGGGTGTCAACAGAGTTGTTGGCTTCCATTTGACAATGGACGTCAGCAACATAAAAGCCAACTCCATTACAGAACTCTGTGGAGATTTTCCAGGTTTCCAGTTGACAGTGCTTGACTTGCCAAAGGTAAATGAAAGATATTAATACACCAATACAGTACTATTTCAATAGGGCTAACTAATGGAAAGACCTCCCAAATCGCATACGTGTACACATGCACTGTTCTCTTCACGAACGATTGAAGTGCAGAGATACTGGATAAAAGTTAAGTTTCCAAAACGAAATTACCAGCTGGAGACGAAATTACCGACTCTGTGGACTTCCGAATTTCACCTCCAGCTAGTTTAGCTGTGTTTATGCAGGACAAAACAACTGCGAATCAGAGTAGTACAAAATAACCCGGATGGAGGCGTTAAATATTCAATAACTGGAAATATGGCTTATTATTGTAATGGTATTTATCTCATTATTGACTGAAATTCTTAAAATCCATTTATGCCCTTTGGTCTCAATTATACGCTTGACTTGAGTAAAACAAAAAAACTATAGCTAGTGTATGGATATTTTAAGTAACGGCGATCTCTTGCACAACCACTCAGATTGGCACAAATCACATGATATTTTACGTAAGTACAGGATGATTGTTGGAGAGACATTAGGCCTTTTGGTTTCCGTTTTCAAGTATTATTACAAAAACTGATCAGGAATAAGCCGCCTTTATTAGAGAAGGGGGTCACCTAGCTCATCTAAGGTAAACATTTATTGAGATAACTTGAAAAAAACAGATATTGTTTTAAATACATCTACAATCTCTCCACAGAGCTGGGACGAGGTTTCTCAGGATGGTTTCTGGGCAACTGTAATTGATATCAATACAAAACTGGAGTTACCCAGCTTTACAGTAGCAGTACTGTGCAAAGTAGCACAGCAAGAAAATGTAAAGAAACACCTTATGAGGACCGATCAGTTCCAGGAAGTGGAAACTTGCTACTACCATGTGGCCGACACCAAACCAGGTATCAAGTGGTTTAAAGGTTTAATTTTAGTTTAAATCGGCAAGGTAACCTTTCCTTCTCCATTTATGGTCAGAAAAATGGTAAAAATGGTCTTCAGCGAGACCCCTTTTCGCCGATTTCAGAAACACTCATTGTATGTTACTGATACGCAAGTGATCCAAAAAAGTTCATCTTTATACACAATTTTTGTATTAGACGCTTACTCAAAATGCAGTATTTTTGCATAGGTATTGTGCACTACATCGATTGTTCTGTCCATCTAGTACACGTACATGATTTCTTTTGTTTTCATGAAATGAAACACAACTCGGTCTTGTGCAGTTGGTCGGTGTAGACAGAAATCTGCCTCACAGAGATCAGTGTTCCCATGCAGAATTGGCAAGTTAGTTGTAAAAGAAAACTTCCTGTTCTTTTTCTCTTGTTGATTTTGGGCAGATAAATTAATTGCAGGAGAAGAGCAGTGCAACACTAGTTTGATATGCCCGTGTTACTTTCTTTTGTCTCATGAACAGAGGTTGGTAAACTAACGGAATCAGTGTTTGGCATCGTTATTGGTCACCATGGCAAGACAGCTGTGGATAGGTGGGCGTCATGCCAAAAACGGTGTAACCTGATTCTGGTGAACAGAGGGAAAACCTACAAAACAGAGGATGGGGCGGAGATTGACCCTGGGCAGAAAGCTATGGCTCTGTACCAGGAACTCATCCGAACATACTCTGCCCAGCAACAGTGGGTCCTGAATGCATGCAGTCGCACAGGTATATGATCACTTTAGTTTTACTGGCGTTCTTGTTGAATTTGTAGTAGTGATATGAATGTAAATATGCTTATCTTCTTAATTTCAATTAGGTACTGGCTTACTGGCATGCATGGCAGAGTCTAGAAACTGTGTCTCGGTTGACAGAAGGGCGGACTCAAAAGAACACCTACAAACAAGGTACAATGCACTGGGTGTACTGTCCAAGGCGAAGAAGGCAATTCAACAGCCACAACCCCAGCCATCAGTGTCGGAATCAGAGGATGTCTGGAGTTTTGACTCTACATTCACAGATGACGAACTTCTGAGTTTGTCAAACTAGTTTAGATTTGAACCCCCTGTAATTTTTAGTACTTCAGGTAAACCACCCCGAGTATAATGACAGACTTCCTCTTTATGTTCAAGTAAAGTTGTGTGGAAAGGTCATCTGCAATTGGTGAACTGAAAGGTGTTACTAAAAGGAATGGAAAATGATTGGCCTGCCTCTTTTCAAAGCGATTTACCTTTTTTTCCCCTATATACGTATACCCCAAGGAACATACACGTTGTGCATGATTTGTTTTTTAAAACTTCTGATCACTTTAAGAATCAAGGGTTCGGTATCACCCATTGTCTACGTGACCAAGACTAGAGAGATTCCTCCAGTTCTTCGGAAATAGTCCCAATATTATGAAGTCCTCCTGTCTATATTCGGCATGTTCACATAGTACCGTTGATGTTCGGTTATTCCTGGCTGGGCAGATAGGCTAACTGTTGAACATAAAGTCCCATGTCCTGAAGGATGGAATATAACTTTCTTCGACCGACGCAGGCTTTGTGCGTAAGACAGGCTTTCAGTGGGATACACTTGCAGTATTGCCCAATGGATATGGAAGAAGCCTCATTAAGGTTTATTGAGATGCTTCCAATGATGAATTTAAAAAATACCTGGGCTCTCAACTTTTGACCCCAGACCCTTGCGTCATATCTATTTATATCTATGGGTGATGCCTGACTTAATATTTTTTAACAAGAGTCGTCAGGGAATCTTTGGGTAGAGAACCAGACTACATGCTCACATTATCAAACTGCAAGTGATCGATATTTATTTGCTAATTCTTTTTACAATGTAAAAACTTGGTTATCTTAGGTTTTACATGAAAATAGAAATGATGTAATGAGGACCCAACACTTTATTTTTTATTAAACATTTGAGTTGTGTTGATGGTATTATAACAATATCCAATGTTTGTTATCCAATAAGAGAGATTATCAAATCGTCTTGAAACCTTTTCACAAACTTGAAACGTTCTGCATTGGAAAGAATCAAATAACGTCACAATACTATTTCTTGTTTTGAGTCTATGCTATTACTTTACTGTAGTATTTGTTGGCAATTTTCACAAGTCAAATTATTTAAATTTGTTTTTAAAACATCCACTGAAAGGACATTACGATGATGTCACCAAGTGAATTAACAGGGTTTTTAAACAATCGCTGAACTGTTTTCCCAAAGACGTTGAACGCGTTCCGGTTTGTTCTTCCGTTCCGGCTTACATTTTGGCCAATCTGAATGACGTCAGACATTGTACATTCAGAGACCATTGTGATCTTTGGTCCCTGAAAAATATCTAAATGTCTATCTCAATATCCAGATAAGCCTTCTATAGAATGGCGCGACTAAATTTGTTAATATTCTGTGGAACTACTACAGGTACTAGCCTTTGTTTTCAACCTCTCTAATGATCTAATGACATATGGTTAAATCAAATCAAAATTGAAGTAATCACATTTTAAATTTGTAGGTACCATACTATCGTACCTTATACCATTTTCAAAGGGACTTGCAGGCACGCTAGTGTACGCAGTGTGCCTCATCTAAGAAGGAAGCCACTATCGGTACGTCAACTGGCCTACCGTTCACCGTGTTTGGCAGAACCATGTAGTATGATAATTGCCATACCAATCACCATGTTGGAAAGGTTACGGTTCAATTACTTTACCAATTCCGGTATCGAAAACAAGTTTGGACGTATGCTAATCGGCGTACCGATCACTGCCATCGAATGAAGCATGTGGGGACGCCAATTGGCCACCACTCACCAACTTNTTTTTCATTTTTGTTTTCAAATAAGAAAATAAAAAAACTGCTTTTCTTTAAATTTACAAAAGGTACTCAGACCGTATAAGGCCCATGTGCGTATACGCAAGCAGGAACTTGTACATGGGTAATTCCAGAAATTGCTTTTGTGTCCCTTTCACATCTGACATATCATCTTGTAAGTTCAGAATAATTTCCGAGAATTATGAATTAATGAAAATTACCTGCCTAACAAATAATAAAAGTTTGAAATCAATTCCGGTGATATTTCCATGCCAAATAACAAAGGTCAGACGTATCAGTGACACGAATATGTCACACTTTCGGACCCCTAATTTCTGGAATTACCCACAAGCAAAATCACAGAGTAAACTTTCAGAATGTCCAAACCTACTTTGAAAATTTGCCAGATTTTCTCTCGATAATCAGGTACGGTATCGACAAAGATGTTGGTGTTACTGATGTTACCAGCCATCAAGGTACCAGTCCGGTCAGCCACTTCACGTGCTATGCGCAGAGCACGCTTGTTGATCGTCTCCAGATCGTCCTCTCGACCAATCAGCGCCATTTTCTCACGGTGGGCGTAATACTGATGTTAAAAGTAAGCATAAGCCATTGATGTAAAACAAGCACAGAAAGAGTCAATATAGCAGATCTATGGGGGAAAGTGGAAGTCAGGACCCTCCCCCGGACCTTGTTTGTTTGTCTTTTTGAAATAAAGTGGCTGCCGATTTTGGAGACAATTTCGTTTCTCTTCTTTTGCCTTCATCCTAATAAAGGTTATAAAAGCTTAAGTAAGGAGATTTCTAAATCCCCCCCGCTACCGAAAAAAAATGTTCTCCGAGACATGGATTTTTGGTTCTGAACACTTTCCTCGGTACACGTACGCTAGCTGTTTGTCTGATTTCATGGTCAAAGGAAACTCGGAGAGAACAAGATCCGTACACTCGACGCAACCGAGTTGCATCGGTACACAAATTCTGTGACAAGTTATAAACAGTTTCCAACGACTTTTCGTGTAGGCAGCTTGAACTTTACATATTGTCTACTGAACGCATTATGTTATGCAAGCATGTGTCATTTTATGGGCATATCATTCATTCTGTCCTAGTTAAAAATACACATTAATGGGGGTACCACTACGGTACTAGTTAACAGAGCAAACTCTACCTAAATATTTTTTGTTCTCACTTTGACCACCGTGAGAAATTTTTGCACGACCGGCTTCACAAAAGAAGCCCATGCCTACCGTAAACGCTAGTACCACGTCACTTCCGGCGTGGACGAATTCCTCGTACTGTTGCTGGACTAGATTTGGATGTTCCAGAACTACTTCGGGCACAAAGGAGCCCGCTGTCAGGTAGCCACGTCGCTCAAACACGAAGAGATATCCCTCTGCGCAGATGACTGTTTCACCATCGCGCAGACGTTCCATCAAACCTAATAAAATTCAAAGAATAAGGTCTTAGGGGTATGCACTTTACATTTGAATTTAACCACTTATTTATTGGTCATCTCTTCCGATACAGATGATGTGTCAATGCGTCCTTAGAGCGCAAAAGTTTGGTACATGCATCACTGTGGCATTCGCTGTAATTTGATTGACAAAAGCAGGCTCCGAACACGTCAGCAACGCTACTGGTCTGGTCACACGTGATAAACACCGTGCTTATGAGTGCTGGTCCTATGCCTGCTGAATTATTATTTGATTTATAAAAAGGACTCGCACGCCAAGTCAATTGACATGGGTCATTGAAGACACTGCAGCTATCTTACCATGCCGAATACAAAGGTAATGCAAAGGCTTGCTCGCCGGCATTGTTGACAACCAAATCGTTCGTGGCAAAAATAGAAAGCCACGCCAGCTAAGGATAACCTTTGATGCGGCACAAGAAGATACATATGCAGCAAGGTGTGAGACGGAGAGAACCCCCCTGCTTTGTGTTGGTTATTGTCTCGCAGGAATCTGGGGAATTCCTGTCAGACATCTTGGGGGATGTGTTAAGTAACAATAGTCTGGAATGTGTATAGGGATTGGGCATGTTGGGGGTACCCCTCGGTCTCATTTCATGCTGGGTATAAGAAGATGGCCGCCGGTGGTCGCTGATACAATAGCTAAAGTTCCGATAAAATCGGCGTGATTTCGATCGAAACCATAAAACATAAAATTTACCTTTACGCTTACAAATTTAAGGCACAACCTTGATTCAGCTTGGTAGAGAAGACAAAGCGTTTATAAGACATATCACAAAGAAGGAATTTGTTCATTACAAACCGAGGTGAGTTAAACTGAAATACAAATATCGCAAGGTTCACTTCAACTTGATTTACTCACCTTTGACTTTCGCCGCCATGTTGTTTAACAACCTCACGATATCTTCCAAGCGTAACTACAACACTGACCTGGAAACTGGATTGCAGAGTAGGAAAGAGCGTAGTGAGCATGGTCAAATGGCCAACTCTAATGTTCGATTTAGGGTTCAATCGTCGTGGTTCAATTCTGCAAAGTAAATTAATTTTTCAAAGTTTTCAGACATCAAGTCAAGCTCAGGGCTTCCAGGGGGCACTTTAACCTGTTACCTATGGTGTCTAACCGGAAAACTCTTGTTTGCCAGGAAAGGTAGCCATTCACTACGTAGATTTCACTTCGCTTTAATCTTGACCCGCCACTTATAGCCTGATTACTCTCCCTCAACCTGTGGGCAAGCCACTCCAGAAACAGACTCGAAAACGGTCCTCTATAGCTCCCAGTGCGAATCCTGTTCTTTCGACTCACCGCCCAAGAGCTAGAAATATCTCTCAAGAAAAGCAAGACTGAGGAACAGACCAGCTAGCCCAATTGTCACCAAATGGCAGGGGAAGATTCACCTAAATTGTCTTTGCTAGCAAAAAACCACAGGTATATACCTGACAAAAAAGAGCATTCAACCCCCACACTTACTCAAGGGCTATGGCCCAACTTCAATGGGACCACCTTGCAACTGCACGGAGCATCCCCAGTGTTAATTAAACTCGCGATTTGGAACCTAAAAGAGCTACAAGATTTGAACCAGACTACATGTAATTAATAACGCGAGGCTGCACTAATGAGTTATACATGTAGTACATAACTCCTAATTATCCCCATAGTTCCCCACAACCTCTGGACTATACCTCCAGTTATCGCGAAGTGGCCGATGAGTCCTGAATTGGACGAAAACGTATTCCCAGTTACCCAAAAGAAAATGAAAAATTTCCCTTACGTGCAAGGACCCTAAACTACCAAGAATCACAACACCACAATGGTCATCAAGACTTAGACTTCTGTTAATTTCCATAACAAAACCTAGCCCCGGCCCGACCACGCGGACACTAACCCACAGACCGCAATATTCCCAACCGTGCAAATGTACTACAAACATCAATCTACATGTGTAAGACAGAGTGTCACTATGGACTTATAAGACCACCATTTTTCTTATCCTTATCCATCTCCGATTTCAAAAATGCCTAAGGATCCAACTTCAACAAGATTTTGCACGCGAAGTCAGGCAATTTGCTTCGAGGCCTCAACTGTCAAGCTGTATGAAAAAGATCCTTGATCGCTACTGAGGAGCAAGGAAGAAGGGTCTACTTATAAATAGGCAACGTGACTCACCTCCTCTGCCTCAATAAACGACGTACATGTACATCTGAACAGTCGACTGACCACGTCTGAAATCCAATAAATACGGAAGTGCAGAATGGGTGCAAGCTCATCCCTTACAGCCGAACGTGACGGGGATATGACACCACGAATATAAACCAGAGTGGGTGACCTTTACACAGGACACCTGTCAAATCAGACCTGTTATTATGATCACGACCGGAAAGTGTATGGGGATCCAAACGTACAGCAGCAGCAGCCTTTGCCATTGTTGATGTGGTTATCATCATCACTTTTCATTCTACATCGCCGTTTCGTTCGGCAAATTCATTATTCGGTGTGGTAATGTCAAGTTCGACAATCACTGCATCTATTTCGTCATTTAACACGTCATTTTCCCTTCTGCATCCTGCAATTTTACCAGTTAATTTTGGCAATTCCACCTTTCCATTGTGCCTGAAAGTCACGGTTGACCCCGGCCTGATGGCGCGCTTTCGGAACCCTTTGATAGGAAAGATAACGTGCAAAAATTGTAGAATTTGTAATATTTTTTTCGTTCAGTTACTTCTTAAAAACTCTACTCTTAAACAGGCCTTTTGTAAAATATTTGCTAGCATATCAATCTATGGAAACTGAAAAATGACCAAACCTTAAAGAGAAATATCCTGCCAAAAATTGACCAATCACTTCCGAAAATCAAAAACCGAAATACGCAAAGAACAGCCTAGTGCAATTTGATGGTCTCGTACGCCGGTGAACAATTACGGAATTATAACTTATGATATTCTTTCGGTAAAGCTTAAATAAAAACAGACCAAAATATTTAAGGATATGAAATTTATAAGGAAATAAACTTAAAGCAACTGCTTTTACAAAAGATTCTGAAGCATAATCTAGCCCTCGCTGACAACAACTGCGTCACGTCAACTTAACGGAGTCTAAAACCCATCGATTGCAAGTAGGTAAATCTTTGCAACGTTCTACAATCTCGTTTCCACGTAAGCACGGGGAATGAAAACAAACGTGCAAAGAACAAGGAGCTCGGAACGATACTGTCGGAAGCGAAAGGTCATTGATGAAATTCGTTTCTTACCCATCTCCAGATGACTTTTCCTATATATTACTTGAGGAGGAAAAAGGGAAACTTCCGACATAAGTGTTTTTTTTAGGTGATTTCAGTTAGAAATAATTCTTCCAAAAATTATCGGTTGTGATAGGACGGCCCATGTAAAATCCTCATAGGCAGACCGTGCGAAGGGTCTGGAAGCTCGCTGCGTAACCTTTTACTTTCAAGCCCTCTATATATGTCACCTTTCCATTCAGCAACTTGATTTTGCTATTCAGTTCTGCTATCAGCCGTTCCATTTTGCAGATCCACCATTCGATTTGGTAATTCACTACTCCAATGCGGTGATTTCGCCATTCTACGAAATTATTTTATGCACTATGCATCTTTTTACATTTCTGCCCTGCAAATTTATTATTTCATCTGCCTAATACGTCCAACTATTTCTTAAAAACATTGTTTCGTTCGGCAAACGCAGAAGTTTATTTGTTGATTATATGCGTTTCCAAGAATGCAATTCATTGCGTTAGCAAAACTATTCAATTTTAGGCTATTGTAATCGGCAACTTTGTGCCATAAAAATTCGCAGGGCAAATCAAATCCACACAGAACAAATTTATCATTCTGTGCTGCGTGTGTTCTCTCAACTGGGGTAGCCTTAGTCTTTCTGTCAAGACGCTATAGTGCTCCGTAATGGATTGTGCACAGTGCCGGCGTCTTACGACTCAAAATTACACCAACGACCTTAATTACTCTTTTAGACTTCTTGGGGATTTCGTTTAAGTGGTATAAATTGCCAATTCGAAAATAGAAATCGCTGAATGGAAAGAAGAGATGGAGACTGAAATGAACAGCGATCTTGCCGAATGGAAAATGAGTAGAAACTTTCGGATGGAACGGTGAAAATGAAGAGTTGAATGCTGAAATTGGCAAGTGCTGATATCGTCACATCAAATAATTGCCACACCGAATGACAACATCGCCAAACTGAACGGCGAATCGTAGAGCAAAACGGTGAACTTAATGAAATCGAAGATGTGGGGCTACCGAAGATAGTCACGGCGTTCCATAGCCGAGCGGCTCGACGATCCGAGCTTTGACCAGACATACTGGGCGTAACACGGGAAGCGTGCCAACAGACGACTGGTGTCAGTAAGCGGTACTGACGCGAACCTTGGATAGACTGCAGGTAGTTATTCTTAGCTGTTTAAATTCATTTTCGCTGTTATTACAGGGGCCAACGCTCATATCGCGAGTAGCAGCAATATCTAATTAAATAACAAGTGTTACCACAAACAACCTAAGCAATTCATCAAGGACGGATCCAGAACAATTTTTTTCAGGGGTGGGGCCAAACTTAGACCTGGGGTGGGGCCAGAGGAAAAAGAAATATTAAGCATCCTGTTATCACCTTCCGACGGAGACGGGGCTATATAAGGAGACTTTCCACGTGCTTTTTGAAAGAGGAGAAATGGAATATAATGTCATTTTCTCACTATCCCCATGCTCCCTGGATCCTCACTTGGAATTCACTCACATTTCCAGTGAATGGTGGCAAAGAGAAACAGGATGTATGCTCTCAAATGGCGCCCATCCGTCCAGACGCAAGCCTGTGCACGTGCAGCATGAAGATTATCGTGTTCAGACTCACAATTTCGACAATGATACTTGGAGTTTTACACATTTCATTCTTGTACAATTGAGATTGAGCTGAATTGTTTTAGTATAAATCCACAGATCTTAGGCATCTTTCTTGTGATTAAAACAGATTCTAATGATTCATGGTACTTGTCGTAACTCGGACAGACTGAATACCTCACTTCACTTAAAGGTTGATGAGATTTGTTTTAAGAAACGAATTAAATATGGCGTTACTTTGATGTCTGAAGAACTTTGATTTCTCCTTTCATTATGAAAGTATATAGGTAACACAGATTTAATAACGTCGCAAAAATGGGATTGCTGAATGATCGTTGAATTCCTCATTTGAAAGAAGATAAACGACAGCCTCGATAAATCGTAAAATATTTCCATCCAGGAGGCTGCTGTTTTCGAGAAAACTGATATTTTAACAATGGATGGCTGACCATCGTTTGAAAGTACTTTTTGCACATGCGTTAGCGGGCGCCAATTTTGTGCGTGAGTGGAGTGTGTAAGCAAATGGGTACACAATATTAAAAGCAGTTGAAAACGCAAGAAAAGGGGTAAATAAGTGTAAGGCATAAAGTAAAGGAGAATTTCGATCAGTTCAAAGTGAAAGTTTATTTATTAAAACGGATTTTCCCCTACGAAAAATTTTTCCATCTCCGTATCGTCCCGAAGCATAGGGCCTAATGGTACAGTCCATAATTGTCGGCTGTGCATAGCTGGCCAACATGGCTTCCCTTAAATTTCCGAGCTGCACAGCTAGAGTCCTTTTTCAATTGTTTTAGATTTCCAACAGAAAGTTGAAATTTTTATGACCTTATTCTTTTAATTTAGCCTCACCACCTGCAAAATATGAAAACAATTAATTAACAACCCTCAACTATTCTCCTCATGTCATAAATTTTGTTGATCAATTATTACATTCAATAAAATTCATCAAATATGGGAGCATTACTCAGAATTAGATAGGTCTGAACAATAGGCATATCGAGTGTTTTTCAGTCGTCGATTCATTTGTGTTTACCTTACAGATTGAACAACAGTATCTTATTAAGAATTTTAATTGCTAATGGCCCAGAAAAAAAGAAGAAAATTACTCGTAAGTTATATATATAACGGTTTTTGCCCTTACCCAACGTATA